AATTCAACTGTTTGAAAGTTCCTCCCCTACAAATTTCTATGCCCGAATGGTCAAACTTGTTTCGAAATTTGAAAGATATCTTCTTTCTGGGACGGAGAGAATACTCATCATGAAATTTCAATTATTTCTTTTTCTTTCTCAAATAAATCAATACATAAATAAAAAGAAAACATGGAGGTTAAATGTTCAAATTAGTTAAAATTCTACTAAAAATGTAAGAATGACTCTCAACTGAAAGACAGATGAACAACAAAAACAAACATATCAATCTTCTCATTGAGATATATAGGTCAAAAACTCGACGTACATTTTTTCCCCACAAGAGACGAGCCTGCTGCATGGTTGGAGCTTATTGACGACAATACTTAATGTAACGTACATGCATGCTTTCTACTGATCGCATGCTGAAAAACATTATTCATACATACTCAAAAGTACGTAACAGCAGGAATTAAATCAGTTTCCCTTTACTTGTTTTCAAAGTACAGTGATAGTAATCTTGAGACCTTTAAGGCAGTCAGTGGCGACAGAAGAGATATACTGACGAACACCAGCTTTGTCCAAAGTAATAGTTGTCTTCCCACTGTCATCCCTATACAATATATTTGTTGGAACGCAAGATTTGTAGCCATCAATGTCCACTTGAACCACGTCGTGAAGTTTTGGGATGTAGTTGAAAACTGCACAAAACAAGTTTCATTACATATTACGTAGCACAAAACAGTAGACTCTTATGACAAAAAACCTTACCCACAACATCGCCAACGTTTAAGGTTAGGTCCAAATCAAGGCTAGCTTCCAAGCTCCAATCAATGTTTACGATGTCTGTGGCAAAGCTAGGGGAAGCAAGACCCAGAATGAGGAACAAGCACATCAACTTTGTTGCAAAAGTTGCCATTTTCTTTGAGGGAAATGTTTAGTAGAAGATTGAGGAAACGTAGTGAGTGATGATGATTGTTTTGAAGGAACAGGAGGCCTTTATATAGATGTACGAAGGAGCTTCGGTTTGATTATACAACGTTATTTTACGAGCAATTCATCCCGCTTGTAGAATTTTAAATTTCATCCACAGCCGGCCCACGTGGACCATTGACCTACATTTATGAACTCAAAACACACTATTAATGATGTTAGCAAACCC